GGCCCACAGATTGGATCCATTCACAGGATAAAGCACATGGAAGTCATGTGAGTTCCCACCTTCTGTAGGAGCACAAGTAATCCTTCAAGTTCACAGTGAATGTTTTAGTTGGGTTTTCGACATGCCTTACTTTAAACATATGCTCATCTGACATTCTGCAATTAACATTTAACAATTAACATTTAACAGTCTACAATTAACATTTAACAATTAATATTTAACAGTCTGCAATTAACATTTAACAATTAACATTTAACTGTCAACAATTAACATTTAACAATTAACAGTGAACAACATCTGACCATAACTGACAAGCCATAAGTTTGTGTAGGCACTTGTTATGTCCATCTTCTTTCTAATGTTGGGAAAAATATCATTACCAGATATATCTTGGAACCTCATTTTGTTTTTTCCCCATCTCTCCATCATGTAAGTCCTGATCTCCTCTAGCATTGTTACAAGTGGTTTAGCCCCAGCTTCAACAATAACACTATTAAATGCCTCTGACATATTGTTCAGCATAATATCACACTTGTTGGTAGTCCTAAAATATGATCTAGACCAATATCTTGGTGGAGTCTTCATCATATGGAGATATGCCTCTCCACTGATCATTCTCATTGCCCCCATCTCTCTTTCCCAAGCCTGTGAATATGTAGATTTAGTAGCTTTCTAGATAAGATCCTTGAATGTTTTTCCAGGATACTTCTTCCTGAAATTGTTATACAGATGCCTAACACAAAATCGATGTTCAATATTCAGTGAAGTATTTAGTGTATCTTTTGTTGGTCTGAAATGAAAGTGTATGAGCAACACTCTTGTCCACCCCCTAGATCATCAATCAGTAGCTTCAAAAACCATGTCCAGCTATCTCTATTTTCACCTTCAACAACTGTAAGTGCTATGAGAAGCATCTGATCATTAGGACCCCTTCCTATAGCTGCCAGAATTTCACCTCCACAAAGCCCCTTCAAAAAGAAATCATCCAATTCTATCACATGCCTACATAATTTGAAACTTTCCTTGCATCCTTCATAGCATATGTAAAGCCTTTTAAAAAAGGGTCTCTGATCATCAGTACCTTCTAGAGCAGGTTCTACATTCATCTTAACTGTTGACCCTGGATTGGCTCTTAGCAGTTCATGACAATAGTCATATATCCTAGTGTAATCACCCAAAAAGGAATCATGAACCCTATTCCTTACATCCACTCTTACTCTTATTGCTTTAGTCTTGTTTACACCTACATTCCACTTCCTCAATGCCTTTTCTTTAATATCCTGGACCTTCAACCTAGGGTTGTTTTTCAATGCATTTTGAATCCACTTGCTCAACCACTTTGTGCTTAACATCCTCACATTATACTCCCTGCTGCAGTTATGATTGTCAATTAGTTTCCTTATTTGCCAGGTTTTCTCATTTAATAACTTGGCAAAATAAACCTCCCACTCACAACCTTCCTTACATCTCACCCTCACCCCTTTCTTATCATTTTTTATGATCTTGAGGGCTCTTCCATTTTGAACAGCATATGAGGCAACAACTTCCTTAATGTCATCCTTTGAAGTAAAATACATTCCTAATTCTCATTTGTAATTGGCCATATCTTTTATCTCTTTGAAAATTGGGTATTTATTCCTTTCAACCCCACTACTGTCATCACTATCACAACCACTTTGAAGATCCTCACTGTCATTGTCACTCCCCTTATATTCCTCTGTAACTTTGCTGCACTTTCCTTTTCCTTTTGATATTTCATTACTGTCATACAAAGTCAGGTCTGTAATTTGATTTTCATCAATGTCCTCATAACCATCGGATTCATCTTCAAATGCTACTTCTAGGGCACTATCATACTAGTAACTCTCATCCTCACTGTCATCAGGATTGGATTCATTGTGCACCTGACCATCAGTTTTTGGCTCCACTTCAACAGACTCCACTTCAACATTTGTCGCTTCCACCCCTATATTTTCATATTCAATCCAACATTGCTTTGTTCCACAATAACACTTGGATCATTCAATCCATCATTAACTCCATCCATACCAACAACAATCTCCTTTAACTTTCCATCAATGTCATCATGCAGCTTGCTAAGCAGCTCCTCCATCTCATCTACAATATTCTCAGGCTCCTCAACAGGACCGTCAAAATACTCAGGTTAAGATAAACTGTGTTAAATGTAAACATGAACAACATGATGCACCCTGTATAGGTCTGCAATTTCTATGGCACCTTTGTCATCAACTAGTTCATTCATCCCAAATTGTGGGTCTTTGTAATATATTTTCTCTACATTATCCGTATAACCTAAGTCTTTCAATACACCAACTAACTCAAAGTAACTCCACCTATCAACACCTATTGACAATTCAGATACCAGGCCTCCTTCAAAGATACTAAGCTTTTGATCAACGAACTCACCACTGTGGTGAATTACGAGTTTTAGAAATTCATCCATTAAACCTAAATCCCAGAAACCCCATAACAAATATTCAGAATCCCATTTCAAATATTCAGAAACAAAGACAAAACAAGATTAACATACCTGAAATCACCTACGGAATCACCTTCGCAAGCCTCGTCCTCTTTCCTTTGACTTTAGTTTTGGGCAAACAAAACATGCACAGATCTTCAACTTTAGGAGATTTTCTGTCCTTATTCTCTGCCACGTTGCCTCCAACAAGCTACTTCAAGCATGACAACTGCCACCTGAAATCTGCTTTTTGAATTTCACTAATGGAATGACTAACGTGGTTGCATTTTGAAACTTAAAAGACTATTTTAGTTATAAAAAAAATAAGGGACCAAAGTAAACTATGGTCCATAATTAAGAGATCAAAATGAACATTTTACCGAAAATAAATAGTGAAGTTTTTAAACACCTAAAAAAACTTCATAATTATTTTTTTTTAAAAATAATCTCTTACGTGATAACATAGACGGCACCCTTGATTATAAGCAATACAATAATAACATTACATATTCAATCAAAAGGAGTTTGAATTTACTAAAAGAATACCACCAACTTGTCTAGCAGTCTACCCAAATCCCATTCCCATATCACTTTTTGGTAACATGTTAAATATAGTAATTGGATTTTTTAAAAGGTTATATAATGTTTGAAGATATTTATTTATTTATAGCAATGCTACTAGCATTGTAATTGGCCCAAAATATACTGGCTTGGTAATTCTTTGAACTACCAAAGTTATCATCACTGTACTACTTTTTAAGAAGAAAAAAAGTTATAGATTGTTTTTAAAAGAAACATGAAAGGATAAGTTTATACTATTTGTGATTGTAACTATGTCATAACCACACCAAAAATACAAATGTTAGTCAACAAAATTTGTGTGTAGTTTATTTTAACTATTTTTAAAACAAAAAAATAGATTAAAGTATTCAACAAACAATATGATGATTACATTTAAGGATTTTTACCAAAAAAAATTAAAGAACTATGCAATTTTAGAAAATTAGAATACTTACATAATTTTAAACTATTTTATTCAAAATATATTTTGTAGAATCATATTATAATAGTCAAACTTGTTCTTTTTAAGGGTCAAAATTGTTCTTTTGAGAAATGGACAAATAGATAGAATTAGGATACTATGAATATTTTATCAAATGTAAATAAAATTCATCTTATAAATAAAACTATTGACGACAAAAAATATAATTAAAATAAATAATGAGGAATATTATCAACACGTTTTTTGACAAATTATTTACAATATTTTTTTTTATAAATCAATAATCTCTCTTTACTATTTGATCGTATCTGACCCGAATGGATTGTCCATGACCTGTAACTCTTGAATTTTAGCGGTTGTTGAAGTGAATGAGGAGTATCTGTAAAACACTCTGATGTTAAAGTGAGATTTAGAGTGAAAGTGCAAGTATAGTTAAGAGTAGAATAATGAATGTACCTGACGCTCTAGTGAAAGGGTATAACGTTGGGCTAAGGTCTCCATTTGGGCCAGGTGCCCAGGCCTAATACGGAGACTGTCAGGATTCACGTGAGTGAAGTGGGGCAGCGTGTGTCCACGATCCTGGATCAACTGTCCCGCGATCCTCAGATAGTGGAAGACCAGTTCTTCGTGTAGTTCAAGAAGTTTCGTGAGATTCAGGGCAGTTTGCCAGGGGCACATGGGAGTAACTTCCCAATGGTCATGACTACTTGGGCCACAACGTTGGACATTTCTTGATATGGTGTTAGACTGGGTTATGCCCTACAGCAGACCAGCCGCGGGTCCAGTCCAGAACAGGAGCCCCCCTAGTCGTTGCTCCTAGGTATATGAGCTATGACTTAGAGTTAGCTCGTGCGTCGAGGATAGGATAAGCAATCAGCCTTCATCGGGCGTATGCGGGAGTGAGTTTGTTCGCGAATCCTCTTTCGAATCCCCGATGGAGGGGCCCGCAGGGTATTTACCCGGACTGAGTTTTCGTTAACCCTCGCCAACATGGATCAACATATTTTCTCGAATTTGCGCACGAGGAGCCCAAGCTCGACATCATTTACAACAGTTGGTTATGCTTGACTGTGATCCAACCATGTTCATTCTTGAGGTCATGCCCGACGTGAAGTGTGAAGAGGATGTCGATGATGAGTGGTGTTCGTGCTCGACTTTGAGATGTTAGAACTGAGTCGCAGAGAAGTGTCCGACTGAAGGAATATGGAGAGTTAGTGCACTGGCTTGGCGCGTGGGAATGTGTAACAACGAGTCTTGGGAGAACAAACGTCGAATCGTTTCGAGTGCCATGCGTGATGTCTATTTAATGTGCCACTAGCCTATGATGGCCTAGGGCCTAGGTAGTGACGTTCTTGGCTATAAAAGCGTGAGAGGGGATTTATTTGAGACTTTACCATTTTCCACTCTCCTCTTGTTTCCCTCACACTCGTTGTTGTCCTCGCTTCCTTTCCTTGGTAAGTGTTCTATCTTTGTGTCAGCTTTTAGGATTTCCTTTGTGAATCTTTTATTTATCTACGAATGTATGAGTTTTCTAACAAATCCTATGGAGTTTTTGGTGAGTTCTATGAATTTCCCGGTGAAACTCATGAGTTTTCTGATGAGATTCATGAGTTTTCTGACGAAGCTCATGAGTTTCTTGATGAAAATCACAAGTTTATTGATGAAGCTCATGAATCTCTTGATGAACCCCAGGAGTTTCTTGATTCATTCATGAATTTCCCGAGAAAACGTGACGGGGAGGTTTCCCCCCGGAGGGAAAAAGAAATTTTTGCTCACCATATATCGAGCGAATCCTCGTCCCCTTTGTCAAAGGTTATGTCGAGGAGATGTTTTTCGCGCTCCTTGGTCATCAACAAGGGCTCTAATCAAGGATGTATCCTCTATCAATTCTTCTCCCTTTCACTTGATTTGCGGTGGAAGGGTGAATTTGAATTTAGCCTCGAATTCACTATTTTCCCCTGCTTTCCAGGTACGATGGCCCAAAATGTTGAAGTTGATCCTCCTATCAAGGAAGTAGCCCCTGTCAAGGAGATTGGGAGAGACTTGGATTGGGTAGGACCCGAACCCTTGGAGATTGCCTCAAGATTTTCCCTCGACTCTTCTAACACATTTAATGTTGTCGAGGTTCGGGAAGAGGATGTCCCCACGTCTTGAACGCCTTTGTGCCCTAAGCCTACCAGTCGGATCAACTCGAGGTTTTTAGGGACTCAATTCTTGATGTATGAGTTTGCTTTCAAAGAGGCGGGGATTTGCTTGCCCTTCAGCGGTCTCCAGGCGGGCATCTTTACGTGGTTGGACTTGGCGCCCTTCCAACTTCATCCGAATGCGCTCACATTTGCTTGGGCATTAGAGCCCGTGTGCAGGTATCTCGAGATAGGTGCCACTCTACCCTTGTTTTTCTCTATTTTCCATCTCCAGAGGCAATCTGCCAATGGTCGTCATAGTTGGGTGTTGTTTAAACAATCGAAGAAGTTGTTCAGAATGTATCTGGATTCTGCTCGTTCTTTCAAGGACATGTGTTACATCGTAAAACCCCTTTCGAAAGCGGTCGTGGACTCCATATACGATCGCGTGGAATAGTTTAGGATGGTAGGAAGGTGACGAGGCTTAGAGAGAAGTTCCCTCTTGAGTGGCAGAAGAGCCACTTTGGCAAGACCGTCGATGCCTATGCTTTGAAGCCCGACGACTTGGATGTTGAAGACCAGCTTTCCTACGGGAAGCTCGTGGCGTATGTCGAGAGTTTCACTCCTATCGAGTGTGTAACTAAAGATGGAAATCCCATTTTGACGATGGATGGACAGCCAGGCCTAGCTCCCCGGCTGATTAATACAAAAATGCTCCTCGAGTGTGATTCTGATGATGAATCTTTACAACTTTTAGGTAGCGAGCATACTTGTGGTTATCGTACCTCTAGGTTTCCCTGTTATACTGACCATATTTCTTTATTTGCAGGTCAAATGGAGAATTTCCATGAGCGCATGGTCAGGATAGTGGCCAACAGGGGTGCTAAGAAATCACCTAAGAGTAGTGTCGCTCAACTCTAAGAGTAGGAGAGGAGCAGGCAGCCTCAGGTTAGCTCAACTTCTTCTCCTCAGGGAAGTTTCTCGCATCCGAATCAATCTACAAAATGACGGCATGTGCACGAGACGAAGCATGTCGACTTTATTGAAGGATTGATCAGGGAAACTTTCATGATGCCCCCTTGTTACCTTCAACGTGGAATTTTTACTATGGACAACTATGTGGATGTTCACGAGGTGGAATCGAAGGCCATTATGGATATAGACAAGGTTTCCCAGGGGGAAAGCACTGAGCTAAGACGCTATTGTCGTGATGAGGGTTCAAGAAACTACCATAGCCCTTAATGATGCTGAGGTCTGCCTGTTAAAAGAGCTGAAAAAAGAGAAGGCTCAAAATGTGACTCTGGAAGCTGAGGTGAACAAACTAGAGAACGATCTTCTCGACCACAAGGATAAGTATATGATCCAAAATGGTCTTTACAAGGAGATAAGTAGCTTGAAAGAGAAACTGTTCAGAATGACTTTGGAAAATGACAAGCTAAAGGCTCGAGTGACCAGGATGGAAACTATTGTGGCACCCTCTGAGAAGAAGACCAACAATGATAAGCTCTTGACGACTCGGTCTGAGTTAATTGCTTGCCTTAGGTTGCTCGAGCAGGATTGTCTAGATTCCATACGACATAGTTTCAACTTCGCGGTCGAGTAACTCCAACTAGTTAACCCCGTGGTCCATCTTGTCCCTGCCGAGATAGGGCCCTATCACCATAATTAATGGCCAGATAGTCGCTCCCGAGGGTTTTGCTGACGAAGAGGTGTATCCTCATAACAAGGAGGAGGAGGATTAATCATGTGTTCGACTGGCATGTACGCCACACATTTGTTTGGCATGCGTGCCCCTTTTTTGATGTATGGGCCTGCATTCCCGTATGTTTGTATCATTTGAACAAGGGGATTTTTCCCGGTTATCTGTAATATTTTTTAAAATTTGGTCGTCTTTTCGGCACTTTAAATGTTCTTTTGTATGTTTTGTTTTGTATGTTAATTATTTTGCTGTTATGCTCGCATGCTTGTAGGGTTGTTTGCTCGATGTGACTTGTATTTGACAATGTAGAGAGAACTTATCGAGGAGGCGAAGCTGGTTCCGCTAGCTAACGCGACCAAGACCGTGGTCGGAGTCTTGATCCTGCAATGTGAACTTTCCCATTGTGAGTTGGGTATTCTGCCTTATGGGTACTGCAACGACGAAGCTCAGTCAAGGTATCCCCGTCAGGCTAAGACTTTGCTCGTCCCATGAGCGAGAGCCCACCTAGTGATTTCAAGTTTGGGATGTCATGTTCGCACTTTAACATGCTCCCGTGGCCAGATGTGCCATGTTGTCTATCGAACAAGGAAGGTTGGCTATTAGCCCTAGATGTAGTACTGCTTAGGGCTAATTGTAATATTGCTTGAGCTTTTCTGTGTTCCATGGTCGATCCAGTTGTTCCCCGGTCAAATTTTCGAGGTAATAGGCCCCGCCTTCCGTTTTTGCTCGGACGCGATAGTTTTTTCTGATTTCTTCGTATGACTAGGCTGCCGACTTAGAACTCACGTTTTATGACTTTAGCATCGTGACACAGGGTTATCTTTTATTTTAGAGTGGCTTCACAAATAGCTGCTCCTACTCGAATTTCTTTGACCAGGTCGAGTTTCGCTCTTAAGGACTCATTGTTTAACTCCTTGCAAGGGGGGACTCATTTCGTTTGGATGACTCTCTGATTTCCACCGAGATCACTGACTCAGTTCCATAGGCTAGTCGGAAAGGAGTTTCCTCCATGGTCGAATATGGTGTTATTCAGTAGGCCCAAAGCACTCTATGTAACTCCTCGACCCACCTATTTTTGGCTTTACCTAGTCTACTGTTTAATCCTCGTAGGATGGCTCTGTTTGCGGCCTTGGCTTGCCCATTTGTTTAAGGGTCCTCGACGGACGTTGTAACACCCCGTTTTCAACTAATTGATTTATTTAAATTTAGGAATTTATTTTATTAGAATTAATAAAATAAAAAGAATTATTTATTTTGGAGTATTTGAGGAAAATAAAAGAAATAAGGAATATTGGGATTTTTATGTTATTGGGCTTAGATGTTGTTAGTAAAGAGTGGGGGGTGCAGAGAAATAAAGTTATGTTTGGGACTTAGACCATTTTCTCATTTTGGTTTTTCACGTAAGAACAGAAGTTGGAATTTGGGAAAAGAGAGCTCTGAAGAACGGAGAACGAAGAACATCGCCCAAGAACCCAAAGCTGCTAATTGATAAGGTAAGGGGGGTTTATACTCGATTTATATTTGTTTATGGGTTTATGTACGGTTGATTCGGGTAATCGTAGGAAATCCCAATTGTTAGATGTTTCTAGGGATCGATAACTGTAGGACTGAACCTTGTTAGAAAAGGGTTAGGTTCCCAATTTTTATGAATCGATTAAGAGTTTTAGGTCCCAAATGAGGAATTGGGAGTATATATCATGATCGTGAATTTACCTTGGAAGTTGTAGGGATAACCTCAGTGTCAGTAGAATTCCCCAAAAAGGACGGTTAGTTTCCGATTAAGGTTATTATGATAATCGTTGGTAACTTGGATATTGTGATGTTGTTGTGAATTGTACAAACTCGATGCGTTAGGTGCTGAAATGCGCGTTTTGGCGGACGTTTTCCCGCGTTTGGACTGCTGTTTTCTGAGCTGCTGCAGGTTCAGGAAAATCCTGTGCGCGCTCAGCAACACGGGCCGTGTTGCACAACACGGGTGCCCGTGTTGCTCCTCTGAGTTGGAAGGGGTGTGCTCCTGGTTGCACGACACGGGCCGTGTTGCACAACACGGGTACCCGTGTCAGAGCCCCTGTACTGATAAAATTAAAATGTGCATTTTCTGGACGTTCTGCACAACACGGGCCGTGTTGCACAACACGGGTGCCCGTGTTGCTCTGCTGTGATGATTTTCTGAATTTTGGTTTTAGTGCTTTGACGTCGGATTTTTATTGCCATGCTTTTAGATATGTATCGAGCATGAATTATGATATAATTGATGTGATTGGTTGATGTTTGAATAGTATGCTGAGTGATTACATACTATTCGTAACTTGATAGGATTGATGTTTAAATAGTATGCTGAGTGATTACATGCTATTCATATCATGTTATGTTTGATATTGTTGATGTGCATGATATGTTGATCGATGTTCATAGTATGCTGAGTGTTACATACTTACATATCATGTTGCATTTGTTAATTCCCATTGTGTGGAATTAACATGGTGGCCAATATACGTGTCCGCGATTTAATGGAACGTTGAGGTGGTAGCCGTGTCCGCGATATAATGGAACGGTGAGTTATCCGTGACCCGCGATTTAATGGGGCGGTGTAGTGGTACCACATGCATGGGTGTGTTGCATTACTCGAATATAACATGAATGGATGATTGTTCCAATGTTATATTTGATTGTCTGTATGCACGTATGAATTGATAAATGGTTGATGATGTTTGATGAATGTTTGCAAAAATGAAAGGCAATATGTCAAGGATATATGAATTGTAAAGGTTTTGTAAACTATGAAATATGCTAATTATTGGGTGATGCTTATGATTTCGTGAATTGATTGTTATGAATGTATAACCAAATGTATATTTGAGAAGCTCACCCTTACTGTTGAATATTTCAGATTGAGGAGCTTCGCTCAGGTGCTTGGCGAAGGCTTATCGTGTCTAGTTTAGTTTCGTTTTAGTATGTCCGGGTCATGCTCTGATAGTTGTAACTCCGGGAACGTTTGGTTGTCGAGCTGCTTTAGTCAGACTCGTTTATTCCTTTTTTTTGTTTGTTATGATATAATGTTGACTTTCCAGGTGTTAATCCCTGATGACTTGGAAATCATTATAACATTTGATTTTATTAAATAAATTATTCCGCTGTGTAGACATGTACGAGTTACCACTAAAATTATGCATGACAGGAATTTATTTTATTAAAAGAGAATTGTAGCATTCCTCGATTATACATGTACTCTGATATTATGCTTTTAATAATTGCGAAAATTTATTCGGGGTTTTAGAGGGTGTTACAATAGTGGTATCAGAGCATAGTCGGTCGTTGTGACCAGAGTCTTGAGTCAGTCATTCCTTTTCGTATGCGACTAGTGCAAGGTAACACTGTCGATACCGTATTCTGATGTGGAGTATGTTTTAATTCTCAGGAATATGGCTGGAAGAGGTAATGGACGAAATGATGCTGCACTAGCTGAGGCTTTGGGGATGTTAGCTGGTGTACTTGCTGGAAACCCAACTGGAGGCGTGATTGGTGCTGATAGGCAATTGGGAAATTTCCAAAGGAACAATCCTCCGTTGTTCAAAGGTACACATGACCCCGAAGGTGCTCAGAAGTGGCTGAAGGAAATCGAAAGGATTTTCCGTGTGATCGATTGTACTGAAGATCTGAAAGTCAGATATGGTACGCATATGTTGGCAGAAGAGGCCGACGACTGGTGGGTTGCCACAAGGACTGAAATGATTCAGGATGGTGAGGCACTGACTTGGGCTAACTTCAGAAGGGCTTTTCTGAGGAAGTACTTTCCTGAAGATGTTCGGGGAAGAAAGGAAATTGAATTTTTGGAGCTTAAGCAGGGCAATCTGACTGTTAGTGAGTATGCTACTAAGTTCACTGAGCTGGCAAAGTATTATGCACACTACAACAATGATGAGGCTGGAGAATTCTCTAAATGTATCAAATTTGAGAATGGTCTCCGAGATGAGATTAAGCAGGGAATCAGGTACCAGCGTATTCGTAGATTTTCTGATCTGGTGGATTGTAGCAGAATCTTGGAAGAAGATATTACCAAGAATAGGTCGTCTCACTCTCGTGGGGCTGTTGACAAAAGAGGAAAGCAACATATGGACCGTGGCAAGCCATATGGTAGAGATAACCAGAGATCAGGCGGTTGGAAAAGGCCTAGTGGGGGAGATTCTAAGGCTCCTATCAGATGCTACAGGTGTGGTGAGTC